TCTAAATCGTAACAGAATAAGAAATTATTGTAATAACTATTTTTTAATTAATTAATTAATTAATTTTTATATACATTCAATGACATTGTTTAGCTTATGAAGTGAAAATTTCAGTATGTGAACAATTCTCCCCAGTCCCATTGATCGAAATATCAGCAATAGATTACACCACCCCTCTCCATCCTGTCAATGCTCGACCTCTGTATCACTCCTCCAAATTTTTTTTCCCTAGGCCCTACTCCTCCACACACACCACATCTGGCATTCACACTCATCTCTTGTGTTTGTATATCTTTTAGAACCAGCAGTTAGTGAAATGACTATGTCTCTGGACTCCCATGTAGTGGACCGTGGTTTAAGTCCTGGACCCGGTGGCTTAAACTCAGGCTGGGCGCGTGTACATTCGTGCCCAAGATCCTGAGAGGAGAATGGAGGAGAAGAGATTGCAACGTGGCCATCCCCTCTGGGTGGTGATTTCTCACTTTCTGTCTCTGTCTCTCTCTGTCTCTCTGGTGAGCGCATAGCAAAAACCTCTCTAATAACTCTTCATCAGTAAATATATATCCTCTGTGTATAAAAACACTGGAGATTAAAAGTTGAATTCAAAGATGGCTTGTACCCTTAAAGATACTATTGTCTAAGAGAGGGAAAAAATAAGTAAACTAGTAAAATGTGATAAAATATTAGGATAAAAATGACAAAATGTTATTGAAACATATAGAAGAGTCATTTAACTTAGGTTGAGAAATTAGGTCTTAAAACACTTGTTGATAATACCATCTTGAATTTTTAAAAAAGTTTTTTTTCATGTTCCCTATTTATTTTGAATGGCAAAGTTTATGGAATGAGGTCAACAAAACATAGACCTGTCCTTCCTATTCCTCACCCCAAAGGAAAGCTTTCATTTACATTTCTTGATCTTGGTCTGATTTTCCACTAGGAGAAAAATTAAGTGCTTTGAGCTCTAAAATGCAAAAGCAACCCTGTGAAGTAATCCATTAAATATGAATAATTTACCTATTACATGAATTTATTTATAGGCCCCTTGTATTGATAGTCAAGTTTTGAAGAGAGGAGACTAGTGACATATTTTGGTAATTTTTCTGGATTTTAGTTCTCTCAGTTTTCTTTGTGTTTAAAAATATAATTGTTTATCATTTAGAATTTCTAAAATTTTGTTCCTAGCAAAATTGACCTTTTTATTACCATGAAATGGTTTTTAATTTTAGAAATGAAATTTGTATTAAAGTATCTTAATATGGCTGATATTTGGTAAACATATGCTAGCTTTCTTTAGTTAGTATTTGCATTGTATAATTTTTTCACCTTTAATTTTACACCTTGTCTTCTTATAGTTAAGATTTGTCTCTTTTACAACTTTTTGTCTTTTTTTTGGAATTATAGCCCATATATATATAATGTAATTACTCATTTTAGTTATATCTTCATATTATTACTTGTTTCATGGTTTTCTATCTCCTCACCAGCTTTTATGTTAGTTTTCTCTTATGTATTTCTTTTTAACTAAATAAAGCATTTTTCAAAATTTCACTCCACTTTCAAAGAAAAAATTGACTCTTATTTTTTTGCTATCACTGCAGTGGTTATTGTACAGATACAAGGTACATTCTTTGCTGATTATAGTCTTATAGGTACAGCCACTCTTCACTTAACAACCTGTTTAATGAACCTCTCAGACAAGGTTTACAACACTGAGAATCCCCTTTTTCATTCTGTTTAAATCTTGGTAATCCCCTTCAGTCTTTGTTTAGTTGCTACTGTCAGTATTCACTACATGAAGCATTTGCAATCATGCAAGACAACATATTTCATTTATAAATTTGTGCTTTATTGTTCACCCATAGTAGTATTCAGAATGAATAACAGCAATTGCACTGGATTTATATTATTGTGCTGTGGTGTGTCTTACCACTTTCTGGTACTTAGCTAGTATATTTATGGTTTTTTTATGGATAGAATCACATTATTCTAATGTGATGTCATGTGATGTGTTCTGAAAAATACATATTCTATGGTGCCACAACCCACCACAAGGCATCTGCCTTTAAGTTTCTCACTTATTGACCATTTTGCTTAATGACCTAGTCTTAGTAATGGAACTTGGTTTTAAGTGAGGTATTTGTCCTTGTATCATTTCTTGAAATAGTGCTATGATCTAATATGTGTTTACTATTTAACCTCTCAGGCCCTCTATCAGGCATTTTAGAATTACTTCTTTTATTTCTAATTTTATTTATTATAATTTTTAAAATTTAACTAGAGAGAGAAAGTAAGAAAACAAGTCACCTGGTACCGGACTCAAACCATGGTCAGCCACATGGATTCCAGTGCGTCAACCAGTGCACCACCTGCCAGCCCCTAGAATTTACTTTTCATAAATGATATGTAACATTGTTACTTTCTGTAGTAAATATTCTTTTATATTTGCCCACATATTTAATTTTCACTGCTCTTTATTTCTTCCTGCATTTCTGTTTTCCCATATGGTATGATTCCTTCATCCTGGAGAACATCCTTTAGTATCCCTTTTATTGCTGCCAACAGAGTCTGAAAATATCTTTATCCCACCTTCACATTTAAAGAAAATGTTCCTACACTGATGGTGGGAGTTTAAATTGGTCCAGCCACTGTGGAGAACGATATAGAGGTTCCTCAAAAACCTTCAAATAGAACTATTATATGATCCAGCAATTCCATGCCTGGATATCTACCCAAAGGACAGGGGAGAACTCAGTAAGAAAAGCACTTGCACGACTATTTTCATTGCAGCATTATTCATGATTGCTAAGACATGGAACCAACTCAAATGTCCACAGAGAGATGAATGGATTGAAAAATTGTGGCACATATACTCTATGGAATACTATTCAGCCATACAAAACAACAGCCCTGGAATTTGATTGAAAGTGGACAAATATGGAAGATTTGTTGCTGAGTGAAGCAAGTCAGGCTATGAAAGTCAGGCTATGTATGTGTCCACTTAACATATACTGACTGTCTGCACTCTATGGTAGAGATTGAAAGACTGGAGAACATAAAAGTATTAAAAATTGTAATAGACACTAGAGACAAAGTGGAAATAAATTGTGGGAGGGAAAGATTGTAGGAAATTTGGGGGGAAAATGGAGAGGTAAGACACTTGTGGGACTAGATTTATTATCTGTTGATGAGGATATGTATGGTGGTCTTAACTGGGCTGGACTGAGGTGTATATCATGCTGAGTAAAGTCTCTTCACAATCTAAATGATGTATAGTGATTTAATGTATGAATAATAAAAATAAATAAATTTAAAAAATAAAATTTAAAAAATAAGAAATTTTTTTTTCTGAAAGAATTCTAGGTAGAAGTTGCATTATTCTTTAATTATTATTTATTTAATTTTATTTATTCATTCATTTATTTTAATTTGACCAGAGAGAGACAGAGAGAGAGAAAGGGATAAAGGAAGCCGCCAGGTCCAGGTCTCGAACCGTGGTTGGCCATGTGGAAGTGTCCAGCACCTTAACCACCATGCCACTTGCTGGTCCTGAAGTTGCATTCTTTTAGCACTAAAAAAAAAGAACTTCATTATTTTTATACTTACATTGTTTCTTTTGAGAGAAATCCTGTCAGCTTATTGTTGATGACTGATATTTTTCTGTCTTTATTCTTTGTTTTTAATATTCTATTTTTCTACTTTTTTTTTTACCAATTTTACGGTGATGTTCATAAGTATGATTTTTTTAAAAAATATATTTACCTTATTTAAGATTCAAAACTTCCTGAACTTGTGTTTGGATATCTTTCATCATTCTGGAGAAATTCTTGTCCTAGTTCTCCCAAATAATGCTTTTCCTTAATTCTTTCTTCTCCTTTTAGGGTTACAGTTACAATATATTAGCTCTTTTTATGTTGTCTTCTGTTCCTCTTTTTTCTTTTTTCTGTATTTTCTTTTCATGCTTTAGCCTAGATAATTTTTACCAACCCATCTTTTTTGGCTCACTATCCAGCATCCTATTAAATATAATTATTTAATTTTTAATTTCAATTTTTTCTCTTCTGAAATTTCTTGTATTTTAAAAAAGTTCGTTTCCAATCAAGTTAATATTGTTGTTATTATAGATTTTGAACATATTTTTATACTTTTTCTGAAATTTATATTTGATAACTACATTTACTAGATAATGATACATCTCTTTTTATTCTCATATTTTCTTTTTTTTTTCCTTCCTGGTAAGACTTGTTTTTTTTTTAATCACAAGTTAGGCACTGTATAGGAAAATTTGTAAATATTGTCAATGACTTATTCTCTGTTGAGGGTATACCTTATCATTTTGTAGACAGATAACGTGAGGACTAAACACATTAATTCAAATCTGGGACTCTCAAGGCTGCATTGATTGTCTACTTCTGGTTATTCCCACTTACAGAGTAGCATCCAGAATGACACCTATGTTCTGGGATATTTATGAGGGTTCTTTCTTGTTTAGCCACTACTATTGTTTTTGCTGCCTTTGGATCATCAGAACACAGAAACCTCCTTTTTCATTTACAGAGGTTCTCCATATAATGGTAATGCTATTATATATGATACATATTTTGTCGCAAGGAGCTAACTTTCTACTGAATGACATAGAAATGTCACAGGTAATCACATATTGGTAACTGCTTATGTTAGAGGCATATGGATTATTTTGTAGGCACTCAGAAGAGAAGTACTTATGTTGGCCTAGATGTAGGAGAACTCAAGGTGAATGCTTTCTAGAGCAGGTATGACTCTAGAAACAAATTTTAAAGATTCACAGTTGATCAGTCACAAGTCCTCATCCACTCGCCACACCACAATTCTGGGTATAGCATATTAATACTGAAAATGTACTGTTCACTTCTATTTACAACACTATTAGATCAAAATATTTAAAAAGTTTGAAGATATAAAACTTAGTTAAAAATATTTAACTACTGTCTTTTTTTTCTTTTTTCTTTTTTTATCTATAGGTGTTCAAAGCAATGAATATCCCACAGATCAGAAATCCTTCTCTGCCTCCTCCAGAAAAAATGTCTGAAGCCTATTCTGCAAAGATTGCTCTTCTTGGTGCTGGGCCTGCAAGTATAAGTTGTGCTTCTTTTTTGGCTCGGTTAGGCTACTCTGACATCACCATATTTGAAAAACAAGAATATGTTGGAGGTTTAAGGTAATGCCTACATTTATATCATGTTTATGCTATCAAAAATGATGAGTAAAACAATTATGAATATTGTTGGTTCATAATCATATAGAAACTTCAGGCTCACAGATGGTATTTTAAATGTTCATTTTTTTTCCAAATGCTCAAATTCTGATTACATTATTCACTTTAAATTTTGCAGTTGGCTTTAAGCAATATTTATTTAAGAATGTCTCTGTCTACTCCTATGATTTTAAGACACATCACAGCAAAGTATTTTTTTGGTTATATCAGCTAATCGTATGAAAAATTTTCTCATTGCTATGAATCTTTCCTTTGACAGAAATATAGCTGAAAATCATGGCTATTTGAGATGGGAAAAAACAGCTCCATGGAATATTGGTCTAATTATTTTGTTGTCTATAGAGACATTGTCTTCACATATTTTTGATTTACAGTTTTTTAAAAATTGTAATTGAAAGCAATTTTAAAAGTGTTTATAATTTTGTCAGAGTCTGCTAAAATAGTTCTATTTAAATGTATGTATGTAAAAGGCAGTTTTTATTTAAGTAATACCTTGGTAAAACTTCATATCAGCCAGCATTATTATTATAAGCCGTGATTCAGTCACTTAGTCATTTTACTCACATGAAGATTTATACATTGAGCTGGGAAATGTTTGCTTTACATCAGTGACTTTCAGATGTTCAAATCAAAGTTAGAAAATGGACAGAATTTACTTCATTTAAAATAAATGAGATTTGGAGCCCGCAGGTGGCATAGTGGTAAAGAACGTTGAACTCCCACTTGGCTGACCAGGGTTCAGATCCTAGACCTGGTGGCTTGCTTTCTCACTTTCTCTCTCTCTTCCTCTGTCCCTCTCTGGTCAAATAAAATAAGGAAATAAATAAAGTTAAATAAAATAATTCTTTTAAAAATAAAATAACTGAGACTATACACTGAACATATATTACAATTTTAGTCATAAAAATAAAATTATTATGAGTTGATGTCCCTTAAAATAATTGGTATGGGGACCAGAAGATGACATAGCAGCTACTTCACTGGATTCCCACATGACTGACTGCAGTTCAAGTCCCAGATCTGGCAGCTTCAAATTAACACCAGGCATGTGTGCATGAGTGCCCAAGATCCAAGGGAAAAGACAGAGGAGAAGGGATTGCAGTGTGGGCATCCTCCAGGGGGGCGTGATTTCTTGCTTTCTGTCTCTTTATCTCTCTCTGTCTCTCTAGCAAGTGCATGTGCTCTATAGTAATAATCTCTTAAAAAAAAGAAATAAAAAGAAAAGAAAAATAGTTTATATAAATGTGAGAAAGAATTGGGGTGGTAAGTCAATAATACTGCTTGGTTTATTGTATATTTAAATATAAAAATAGGGTAATTAAGTGCAATCATTTGGAAGATCTGTTTCAATACAAAGCATTTAAATTTGTTTTATCTGCTTACCTATTCATTAAGCAACAGATTTATATTTGATAATTACAGAGAATAAAATCAATAGAAGTTGGGACTAAAATTTGTGATATTCTTACATTTTCTGTTAATAAATGTTCAATTTCAATATTAGTCAAGTGACAGGATGTTAAACCAAGATAATATAAAACTGTCAATGATTTGTATCATCAATAAAAATATTTTGAACTATTTATTGATATGAATATTTATATGTAAGCCATCAATATAAAACTAATGACTAAATCAACAGCAAAAATATCACACACTAGAAGACCCTTTAGAAAGAGGATATGAAGCATAAATAATCTGATTCTATTAAATGAATTCTGTATTGATGTTTCACTACTATGAATTTTAAGGGTTAAAAATATTTGGTAATTTTTTCTCCTGGAAAGTGAAATACTCTATATATTATTTTATGAAAGTATTTATACTATCCATTTTAATGGTATTTTACCCCAGTTTTGTTAATTAGGAAAAAACATAAGCTATTAACAATGTATGTATAAGCTTTGTACTATTTTTTTCAGTTATACACATCAGCGAGTATGTGAGATAATTTTTAAAATATAAACTTAATTGCTGTGTACTTTGGTAGACTTGGAAAAAAATCTCTGTTCCCCTTAATTGCATTTTCCAATGAAGCCTAAAATGGAATCGGTCCTATTTGTGAATTATTGTGTCACAGATCTTGGTGAAAGATTATGGTTCCTAGCATTTCTGTCTCTTTCTTAACTTAAATTCAGGATATGCATTTCTAAATCACATAAATCAGCAATATGTGTTTTTATTTATTGACTGACCATATATATATATATGTCAATATATATATATATATGAATATATATATATATATATATTTGTGTTTTTACATATTTGCTCCAACTCCCCTAGATTTGTGATGGAACATGATGACTTCCATTTTTATTTTAAATAAATATTTGAGACTAGAAGATTATGTAAAAGATTATGTAATAGTTATGTCTCTGGACTCCCTCATGGCCAGCTGTGGTTCAAGTCCTAGACTCTAGGACTTGAAACTCATGCCAGGCATGTGTGTGTGCATGCCCAAATTCCTGAGAGGAGAATGGAGTAGAAGGGATTGTGGTGTGGCCATCCCCCTTGCGGGGTGATTTCTCACTTTCTGTTTCTCTGTCTCTCCAGCGAGTGTATACACCCTATAGTAAAAAAATCTCTCTAAAAAAGGAAAAATTATTTATTTTCTTTCCTTTGCCATTGAATCTGCCCAGCATATAGAAATAATATGAAGTGTTTAATTAGTCTCATTTGTACTGTCCCATGGTAGAGGCTTTCTTTCTGTGTCACTGTTTTAGGATTATAAAAACTGACATGGGAATTTAGCCAGAATTACAACTACAAAACTTTGCCATTAATTTATTTTTTCACTTAAAGATACCACTCATTCTCTTGTATCTTCAAAGTGGCTAAAAAAAAGATTAAATTAGCTTTGTATTTGAAATCAATTGCTTAAAGAGGTAATGTCAAGTTTTATCTTTCTTTCCTCTTTGCATCCATACAGATTCTTTTATCCTTAGTGAAATAGTATCACAACCACTTTTTAAAAAATTACTAGAGTCAGTAAAAGATATCCAGTACCTAATTCCAATTTTATTGAATATAATTGGTTGATTATTTTATGTGCTGTAACAAATTAATAAAATAATTAATAATTTTGTTTTCTTTCCACTGTGGCTTTTATCTTTTAAGAGTTGAGTTCCATTTATGTATTTTTAAAGAATCATTTATTTAATTTTATTTATTATTATTTGATTTTAAATTTTGCTGTAGGGTATGTAGGGCACCAGAGAGAGAGAGAGAGAAAGGGAGAGACAGAGAAAGTGAGAAAGCAAACTGCCAGATCTGGGAATCGAACTGCATTTGGCCATTTGGGAATCTAGCTGCCCAATCACCTGCTGGCCTAAAGAATTGAGCTTTAAAAAGGGCTTAATATAATGTTTAGAAAATATGATATTAAGAGACCTAAAATGTCATTTAGGTACATATTGAGTCATCGGAAAGTCATGACATAGTTTTGCATAAAAATTTGTGAAATGGTACCTCTATGATGCAATCACCATGATCCATTTTTTACATTAAAAGACTCTTGACTTTTCTGATGGTCTAATATATACTATCTGATTTTTTTGTTACTTAAATTATGACATTTTTGTCAGATAGGATGGTCAAGGCGATGCTGTCCTGTGCCAATTTAAAATCTAGTACATCTACAGTAATAACACAGAAGCAATCTGTCACAGTATGAGAATTCTGTTTTAAAAAGAATGCAAAGGAGTTATTATTTGTAAATTCCATTACACAAAAGGAACATGAACATAGAAGAAAAAGAATATTTTTTCATGTTATCTGACATTCCACTGACTATACCGAAGGATTTATGGTTACCACAAAAAAAAAAATTTCTTTCAGAACTTTAGATTGTTAAAAAAAACACACAAATAGAAGAAGAAAAGTCTATTTTCATAAATACAACAAACCAGGAAAATAATAATTTCTATCAAATTCTGTTTTCTTTCCTTTTATTCTTTTTCTCATCATGCAGTATTCAGGGATAATCTCATTTCCTTTCCTTGCTTCAGTGACCATCCAAATGTGGATTACTTAAACGTTTTTATTTGCCCTGACCTGTCTTTCTGTCCTGAGCAACAGATTGCTACATTCAGATCCTGGGTATCTCTTTGTAAATTTTGCCATGTCTGTGGTTGCTCCTCTTTCTTAGCGGATATCATCATCCAAAGTATGGGATTTTCCTGGACTGCTCTTGAGTGTTATAGCAATTGTATTTTATGAATACTCTGTAAAATGCTTTCTTACCCTGGCATCTCTGATGTTTGTTACATTTCACTTTCTGCATCTCAGCAGTAGCCTCACATTAGCCTCTTGGCTAATTTGTCTTTTCATATCTATTCTCCTTTTAGATTCCGTATTAAATTATATCACTCTTTGAAATATTTTAAAAACTCTCACAAAGACCAGCAGTTGACGTAATGGCTATGTCACTGGACTCCCATGTAGTCGACCATGGTTCTAAGTCCCAGACCCAGTGGCTTAAACTCATGCGGAGTGCATATGCGTGCATGCCCAAGATCCCAAGAGAAGAATCGAGGAGAAGGGATTGTGGTGTGGCCATCCCCTCTGGGGGGTGATTTCTCACTTTCTGTCTGTCTCTGTCTTTCTGGCAAGCGCACATGCCCTATAGCAAAAACCTCTCAAAAAAAAAAAAAAATCTCATTAACCTGTGGTCAACAGATGGCATAGTGGTTGAGGTGCTGAACTCCCTGTGGTTGACTGCAGGTCATGTCCCAGACCCTGTGGCTTGAAACTTGCACAGGTGCATGTGTGCCCCAAATCCCCAGAAGTGACTGGAGAATGGATTGTGGTGTGGCCACACCTCGTGGAGGGTGATTTCTCTATTTCTCTGCAAGTGCATTTGTCCTATATCAAAAGTCTCTAAAAAAAATAAATTAATTAAAAAATACCCTTCACAGGAAATAAAGGATCTGTGCTAGCAC